TCAAATAGCAAAACAAAGCTATGGAATTGGAAGCTATTAGAACATCCATTGGCTCCTCACCCCACCTCAGCTGCACAGGGAAAGTTGCTATTTACAGTAGTGTTGCTTTTGGCTTTAATGTAGGGTTTCCCAAAGGAAGGAGAGAAAGGAGAAATGCTTTCCCATGCATCAGATAATAGGACAGGTGGACAGGTTGTTTCCTTCTCACTTACAAAGTGATGATGGGCTTAAAGGAATTACAGTGCAGGACTATGTATATGTATATGTATATGTATATGTATATGTATATGTATATGTATATGTATATGTATATGTATATGTATATGTATATGTATATGTATATGTATATGTATATGTATATGTATATGTATGTATATATATGTATATGTGTGTGCATACATATATGTATAAGTATAGACATACATGTATATTATATGTTTGTGTGTGTGTGTGTGTGTATACATAGTTATACGCATACACACCCACAGACACATACACACAGATCTTCAAGGAAGATCTTTTCCAATGATTCCTCTTTCTCAAATAGCAACCCTTCTTTTTCTCCCAGCACACTCTTGCTGCTGCTGCCACCATAACTGACCACTTTGAAGATACTACAACCAGACCTTTAATGGCCTCATGACCTTTTGAAACTTACAGAGTCTCCTGGGCTCATCCGTTTTGAGGTTGCTGTTCAATCACCTATTGACTCTGGAAGATATACTGCTTCCACTGTTCCCTTACTCTACTCTACCATGAAGTTTTGAAGAATCCTTATGATTGCACACCATAAAGAAACAGGAACATTTTGGGAAATGGGGAGGGGGGAGGGCAGGGATTTCAGCTTCCTCTTGGTGCTTTTTTAAAAATTTTATTTTTAGGCAATTGAGGTTAAGTGACTTGCCCAGGTTCACACAGCTAGTAAGTGTCAAGTGTTTGATCTAAGGCCAGATCTGCACTCAGGTCCTCCTAACTTCAGGACCGGTGTTCTATCCACTGCACCACCCACCTCTCCCCTCCCCATTGGTTTTTAAGCCAGAACTGTGGGTATATAGATAAGCGTTAATTAGTATAAATAATGAATTCCCATAAGTTGTCCCATACATTCACAGTATTTGAAGTTATAATTATGTAAACTATGGCAGTTTATTCCAGTCCAATTCAAACAGGTACTGCAATCCAGATAATGTGACTAATTCATAAGATTAATTATTTGCATTAATTGGAAGGTAGCTAAGTTTTGCCTTGAGAACCAATGGGAAGACTTCACATATATATATATATATATATAGACTAAATCCTATATAGACAGAATCTATATAGTGTCAAAAAGAGATGGGCAAAACGGCACACATTACACAAATGTGCCCTATAAAAAGGAAAACCAAAGAGAAACTTCATAACAGATAGCTTTATTAGATTTGGCATCCAAAGAACTGGGTTCAGATCTAGCCCCTGTCATTTATTAGCTGTGTCTCAAGTCATGAAATGGAGATAACCATAAAGAAACTGCCTATGTCACAAGATTGTTGTAAAAATGGAGATAAAGTATGTAAAGTGCTGGATAAACCACAAGATAGTAAGTACAGGGGAGCTATTAGTATCACCAAAAATAGTTGTAATAAAAATTACTTGTCCATTTTCAACTAGCTTTCATCTAGTCTATTTTCATTTGTCTTCATTAAAAACTCATGAAAATATTTTTAAACATCACAAATTTGATAACAGGTTTCTGCCAAACATTTGACATTAAGTCATGAGCTTTTTTTTTGGGGGGGGGAGGTGATGTAATCAGGGTTAACTGACATGCCTACGGTGACACATGTAGTCAGTACTGTGTGTCCAAGGCCGGATTTGAACTTGGGTCCTCCAGAAACCAGGGCCAATGTTCTATCCACTGTGCCACCTAGCTGCCCGAAGGCATAAGCTTTCAATTAATAATTTGCCTGTATATTTTAAGCATTAACAAATTTAATTTATTTTCCATATTTTTTTCCCTATATATATCAGCTACGTTTTTTTTTTTTGGTAACACACTTTGGCCCTCTCCCCAATAAGTATTTTATATATATATATATGTATGTATGTTAGAAAATAATTGTAAAATGCATTACTAATTTTCTATCCACAAATTGTACACAGTATAATATGTAAGTAAAGATTCTGTTACTTGTTAAATAGGACTTCTAACTAGCCAACCCATAGCCCAAATGTAGTCACGATACTAGATCATAGAAAATGTTATTGAACATCATATGCCATCTATTTTTTTTTTGGCTAGACAATAAGGCTAAGTGACTTGCCAAGGGTCAGACAGCTAGTAAATAGTATGTGTCTGAGGCCAGATTCAAACTCAAGTCCTCCTGACTCCAGGGCCAGTGCTCTATCCTCTGTGCCACCTAGCTGCCCCTATCATTATGCCATTTAGAGACAGCATTGAGGTTCTGTAGGATATCAGGTACGGCTGATAGAACAGAGAGAGTCTATCCCTTGAAGAAATGTTGACAAGTCATGTCACAAGTAAAACCAACAACATATGGATCATCTGACTTACACACTGCACCAAAAACAGTCCACTATAGAAACCAAAAGATGTATACGATTAACTTGCATTTTGGTTGTTTGGACAGAAAAAGAAGGAGGAGGAGGAGTACAAGAAGTAGAAAATAGGGAAGAAGGATGAAAAGATGGACAAGGGGCTTTGGAAACTAATGAAGATGGAGGAAAAGATTGAGAAGATGGAGAAGAAGAAGAAGAAGAAGAAGAAGAAGAAGAAGAAGAAGAAGAAGAAGAAGAAGAACAAGAACAAGAAGAACAAGAACAAGAAGAAGAAGCAGAAGAACAAGAAGAAGAAGAAGAACAAGAACAAGAACAAGAACAAGAAGAAGAAGAAGAGAGCAGAAGAACAAGAAGAAGAAGAAGAAGAAGAAGAAGGAGGAGGAGGAGGACGAGGAGCTTTAGAAGCTGAAGAAGATGGAGAAGGAGAAGATGGAGAAGGAGAAGAGGAATTCATGTCATGAATAGAAAGCAGCAGAGAAGCAAAAGTGGGGGGACAACAAGGCTAGTTTGAGAATAACCTGTTCTATTCCCCTTTGCAGATATTTCTTTATGCCTTGAGGGTTGAATTAATTTCAATGAACAAAAATCTTCTAGCTTCTACTCTACATTATATGTCCCTTAAAAACAAAACCAACTTTGATGATCTATTCTAGTGTCATCCTGCAACAGTATCATTATCAATGATATATGGAGAATCCAAATATCTTTGTTGGAAGGGACCTTAAAAATCGTGCTGTCCAGCCTTACAATCAATGTAAGAATTGTTTGAGCACTGCGGTCAGACAACTTCTACTTGAGGGAAATTGTCTCAAAAGCAGTCCATTCCATTGCTATAAAGTTTATTTTTCCTTATACCAGCCAAAAACAGGCTGCTTTCATCACTGGTCTTAGCAATCTGTTTTGGAGACTCCCTGGTCTTCACAATGGCCCTTGACATATTTGAAAATAGACATGCCTTCCAGTGGTCTCCTCTATCTTAATCATTCTTAGTTCATCCATATCTCTTCTCTCTGAATTTATCAATCTCCCTCTGATGTGTTTTAGGGGTGCAGGACCACAAAATAACTTGGTTCAGGGCAGAGTCATCTGTAAAGAATTCACAAACTCAAGTAGTCTTCCAGTCCAGGGACAAAAAGTTTATTGTACCACTATTGTGGCAGGCAGAGCTTCTTAGGGAACTCACAACTTAACAGGAGTGATGCTAAAGCTTATATAGGAAAAGTTCAGTGAGTGGTGTGCCAAGTTTGCTAATTAGGTGGTGAACATACACTTTCTGTACCTTTTGGCACAGGTGTCGTTCGCTATTGGCGTGGCCTGGGAGGAGAACTTCTAAAGAATCTCTACCTGTACACCTCTACATCTATAATAAGATAGCCTGGGGAGTTGGGAATTGACGTCTATAGCTTGACCTCTGGATTGTATATGGTAGGTCTGCTGGTACAAGATAGTCTTGTTCATACAAGGAAAATTCTACAGAGGTCAGCTTGTTCTTGTAACAGGAAAAGATAGTTTGCCTCACTGGGGTCTACGCATGAATTACTGCCAGAGATAGGGCCTTTGGGCTGGGGAGAGATATGTTCCAAGGACTGGGGTCCGAGCACAAGTACTTCATCACCTGCTAATATGTAGCATCCATAATTAAACACAACAGGCTGGACTGCGTTTCTTCAGCCCAGAGTCAAATGGAATCATCCTTTGGGATTTAAACATTATTATTCTATTACTATAGCCTAAGGATGTTTAATTTTTTTAGCAACTTATGATCAACGAAAACTGACATATCTTTTGTTTTTTCAGTGAACTGTTGTAACCCCTTCCTTCCCACCCTTAATAACAGCATCCATATGGCAATTGTAATTCTGCAGAGGCTGGGCTTGAACCCAGGGCTTCCTGGCTAATGCCAACTCCACCCTCCCTGGACCAGGCTCCCTGTCCCATACAAATCATTCTCCCTCCTCCTGGAAGCAAGAAAGGGGAAGGGATAATCAGAAGAAAGAAGAACCTAGACTGTATTTGTCCCAGGGCACCGAGCAGACCCCCATGACACTTGTTTCAGTCTGGGCTTCACAGAGTCATGAAGGGCTGGAAGACACTTGGGAGGTCATCTAGTACAACGTCTTCATTTGACAGAAGAAGAAACTGAGGCTCAGAGAGAAAAAGGACTTTTTCCATCTTCGCAAAGGCAAGTAACAGAGTGGGTTCCAGGATTCGAACCCGAATCCTCTGAATCCAGATCCAGCACGCTTCCCATTAGGCCACACCTCGTCCTTATCCCCGCTACTTTGCTGTGCATCCCTTTTCAGCGGAGAGAGGAAAGAAGCTGGAGCGCCCGAAGCAGCCTGGAGCTCAGCCACTTTCAGATCTAGAGCTTTGGGCCCCTCCCACTGAGAGCTAATGGAAGCAGCACCTGAGCACTCACCTGTGCATGCTTTTCCATTGGGCCCATGCATGACACAGGAGGATCTGATAAATGTATGCGGAATTGTCTGCCTCGAGGCGTTGCCAGGGCTACAACTGTCACTAGGTTTGAATCTTCTATAACTGTTGCGCGCTCTGGAATCTCTTAACCTCCAGTCTCCGGCCACTGCAGTTCTCTGTAGCGGAGGCGAGGTCCCCGGGCAGGCTGAAAGGCCAAGAGAAAACCCCTCCCTATTTCTCCCTACCGGCTCTGAAGTTCAGTAGCGAAAATGAAAAAGATTTTCAGTTTCCGCAGAAAGCGAACAGTGAATCCACTTCCAACCTCCACCCTCAGGAGGAGGGACAGCGGGGTCCAAGAATCCGATCCTAATTCAGGATACCTGATTAGGGCCAAGGACCTGGAGAAGATCCACAAAGCTGCCTCCACTGGGGATGTGGCGAAGGTGCAGCACCAGCTGCTGCTGAGGAAGTCAGGTGTGAACGATCGAGATAAAATGAATCGGTAAGAGGGAGTGGGAAGAGGGGAGAGAAGTGAAGCCTTCCCCCCGGCAGCCTAAGACACCTCCCACGCCTCCCTCCTTGTGTGTCTGTGTGTCTTTACTCACCCTTGGAAAAGCTGTTCCCCTCAGCAGCTGGGACAGGACCGCACCTCCCATCACGGTCAGGCTTTCCCTCCTGGACATTGGATAGTAAGTCCGGAAAGGTGGTGTCACCTCACCTTCCTGCCTGTTCAATTTTAATGAACGGGAAACTCCTTCATTTTACTTTGAGCCAGGGTCCAACCAACTTATATTTTCTCAATGGCAACTTGGGAAAATACTACTCTCTTCTAGTGAAATGTAGTTTTTGAGTCGTTTCAGTTGTGTGTGACTACCCATGACTGTGTTTGAGGGATTTTCTTAGCAAAGATACTAGAATGGTTTGCCATTTCTTTCTCCGGCTCCTTTTATAGATACGGAAACTGAGGCAAACAGGGTTAAGTGACGTGCCCGGGGTCACATGGGTATCTGAGGCCAGTCATGAACTCAGGAAGATAAGTCTTCCTGACTCCACGCCCAGCACTCCTGTCCATTCTAGATGCCTGCCCCATGTGGGGAAACATGGCCGCGATATGTGAAGTGTAAAAATGCCAAGGCAGAAAATTAATTTCTGCTTTTATTAAGCATCTGCTATATGTATCAGGCACCCAACTAACTGCAATAGATACGAAGAACTTGGGGAGCGGGGAATGTCCTTGCATTCTAGGAGGTAAGCAGAAAGGGAGACTAAGGAGGAGAGGATGGGATACTTAGGAGGAGAACCAAGAAAGAGTAGTGGTACAAAACCTAGAGAGAAGAGAATATCAAGGAGAAGAGTGGTCTAGTTTGAAAGGCTTCAGAGAGGAGAAGGATGAGAATTGAGAAAAGACCATTAGATTTGGCAATTAAGAGAGCATTAGTATCTTTGAAGAGTTTGGAAGCCAGACTGTAGAGTGTTAAAAGAAAATGACAGGAGAAGAAGTGGAGACAGCTGTTGTCAAAGGCCTTCTCCTCACATCTAACCACAAATGGCAAGAGAGATGTGGGATGAGAGTGGGGACAGATTGATCAAGTGATGGTTTCTTGAGAATGAGGGAGAGGATATGGGAATGTATGTAGGCTATCAGGGAAGTAATTAGTAGGCAGGGAAAGATTGAAGATAAATAAGAATAGGAATGATAGAGGGCATAACCCATTAGAGGAGATAAGATAGAATGGTATCACTTCTACATGTAGAAGCATTCTCAGTGGCAAGGAGAAGGGCCACCTATTCCTATGAGGTGGCTGAAGAAGGACATAGTGGCAGAAGGCATTTGTATGTTAGATGAGAAGGAGGGGGAAACAGGGAGGACTCAGGTAATGGCCTCAGTTTTTTCTGTAAAATATGAGGCAAGATTTTTAGTTGAGAAGGTACATAGTGAACCAAGGGAGGTTTGAGGAGGGATTAAAAGGTTGCAAAAGCTGCTCTGGTGAGTGGCATAGGGAATTTACCATGGAGCTAGAATATAAAGTGATTGCCTTGCAGCAGTGAGAGCCCAGTTGAGATTATGTAACATAAATTTATAGTAGATCTAGTAAACACAGTTGTATGATTTTCTCCACCTTTATTGAGTAGCAAGTGTATAGGAAGAAAGACAGTAGAAGGCAGCAGTGATTCAAGGCTGAGGCTTGGCAAGACACAATTGGCAAGATTATAAGGCGGCGACGTACCAGGCTCTTACTTCAAAACCTTGCCATCATGGTAGAACTACCAAAACTTGCACCCTGCTGGGATGGCCTTTAGCAGCACAGATTCACTTCCACTGTCCAATGTCATGTGGCAGTAAGATTTTAGTGGAGAATGCACACACATTTGCACACGTGCTTGTACAAATACACAATATGCAAAGATGTAAATGTTTTTCTGAGGCAGCTGCTTTACTAAATGTTTTGTAATTATGGATGCTCTTAGTGGAAAGAAGTTGTTATTACACTTAACAGCCAAGCAGGGTGATGCACACCGGTAATCCCAGCTACCAGTGTGACTGAGGCTGGCAGATCTCTTGAACTCATGAGTTTGCAGCTGGTGGGCTATGCCAGAATGATGTCTGCGTTGAGGCTGGCATCAATATGGTGAATCCCAAAGTACGAGAGGCCATCAATTTCCCCTAAAGGGAGGTGAACCAACTGAGGTCAGAAACTGAGCAGAGTTCCCATGTCAATATGTAGTGAATTTTTAATCTGTTTTTGTTTTTGTTTTTACCCCTGGCAATTTTGTCCATCATATCGAGCAAAAAGAGCTAATGCATATTTTATATTTCTTTGGGTGACAGTAGTATCCATTTATATTCATTTTGGCAGTGATTTAGAGTCTAGGCATAAGAATAACAATGCATTTTAGGTTAGAAATCACACTAACTAATAAGTGCAAAATTGTGATTGTTGTAATACATTATCAAGCAGTCACATAGCTCTCTCCTTTCCGTAGGACACCTCTACACCTGGCCTGTGCTAATGGATATCCAGATGTTGTAGCTCTCTTAGTAGAGAGACACTGCGATCTAAACCTGCTGGACAATGATAATCTAACACCTTTGATGAAGGTATGTACTAGTTAATCATGCTGGTCAATGAAATGCTTTTTGATTTCTCTCTGCTTAAGAAAATATGATTTACAAATCAAAACAACTCTGAGGTACCACATCACACCTATCAGATTGACCAACATGACAAAACAGGAAAATGATAAATGTTGCAGGAGATGTGGGAAAATTGGAACACTAATACATTGTTGGGGTAGTTGTGAAATGATCCAACCATTTTGGAGAACAGTTTGGAACTATGCTACAAAAATGTGCATACCCTTTGATCCAGCACTAGCACTTCTAGGGCTATATCCCAAAGAGATCAAACAAATGGGAAAAGGACCCACGTGTACAAAAATATTCAGAACAGCTCTTTTTGTGGTGGCAAAGAATTGGAAATTAAGAGGATGCCCTTCAATTGGGGAATGGCTGAGCAAGTTGTGGTATATGAATGTAATGGAATACTATTGTGCTATAAGAAATGATGAACAGGCAGGCTTCAGAAAAACCTGGAAAGACTTATGTGGTCTGATGCTGAGTGAAGTAAGGAGAACCAAGAGGACTTTGTACACAATAACAGCCACGTTATGCGATGACTAATATTGTTATACTGAATCCTTCTCAGCATTGCAAGGACCTGAGACATCTCCAGAGGCCTCGGGATGAAAAATGCTGTCCACGTCCAAAGAAAGAACTATGGAAGTCGAATCGCTATCACTCATTTTTACCTTCTGTTGAGTTTTGTTTCGGCTTTCTGATGGTTCCTCCTATTGGTTTTAATTTTTACTTACAACTTCACTAATGTGAAAATATGTTTAATAGGAATGTAAACGTAAAGCTTATATCAGATTGTGTGCTGTCTTGGGGAGGATGGGGAGGAGGAAGGGGAAGAAATATTTTCAACTCTAAAGTATATGGAAATGATTGTTGATAAATCAAAATAAATTAATAAAATTAAACATTTTTTAAAAAGAAAATATGGTTTACTAACTTATTTAAATAACATTAATGATGTTTTAGTATATTAAATTTTTATCTCAGAGCATTAATTGTCTCTTTCTCTGTACTATATTGACAGGCAGTA